ATCCAGTCAAAACCAACAAGGAAAGTATTACCCTTGAAATGTTATCTATACGAATTTCCAAGGAGACCACAGGACTGTAGACTGTCTTGGAATGTCCTCAGAAGGCTCTGTCATTGATCAGGTAACAGAGTAAAAACCCCAGCATCCTTTCATTCAAATGAGAGGGGGAAAGACAGAGGGACAGAAGCTGCTCAAACTTTGTCTTCTTTCTTTGTGGCTTGTGGTCACCTCTGCGTCCTCAGAAGCTGCCTCGCCCTCCAAAGCCTTCTCGGCTTCTGCCCCTACCTCATCCTCCAAAGCCGCCTCTAGCTCCATCACAACCCCCAAAGCCACCTTTGCCCTTAGGTTTGGCCTAGTCCAAGTTACCTTTGCTTCCCTCAATTTCACCATCTTCCGTGGCCTCCTTGGCAGCTTTGGCATCCTCCTCACTGTTGACATTTATAGAGCCAAAGCCTTTGGAGCATCCGGTTTCCTAGTTGGTGACTACCCTTGCCCAACAAAGCTGTCGAATGACTGAAGTCTCTTCAGTGGTGTCGTCAGACCTTTGACAGACAGTTTTAGATGGCCGGCTTCTGGCAGTAGGTGATCCTTGCAACTCCAGCCTATTTGCTCTGCCCCCAATTTCCCTTTTATTATAGGAATGTAAAGCTTCTTTATCATCTTCAAATGAAGCAGACTCTATCAATGCATGCACACCCTTTAGATTTGCTGTTTTGGTTCTGAGGCATTTTCATAAAAGCTGTCTTCTCAGATACTTCCTGAAGAGTGTCTTCTGTTGCACTGTAGGAGAGGTTGCTTAAACCAGAGCTGCTGATTCACCACTCCAAGCGCTGTGCTTTCCATCACTGTAGAGTCTCGATTCTGACCTTTCTCTCCATCATAGCGCAGGGAAATAGATCGGCCATCAATCTCTGTTCCCTGCGTTTCTTCAGAAGTTTTCTCTGCATCAGCTTCTGTCTTAACCTCAGTATAAGCAGTCCCTTTACTCTTCCCATCCTTGCTAACTAATCTGATCTCCACAGCATCTTCAAACACTTCTTTTTTTTTTTTTTTTGAGACAGAGTCTCGCTCTGTCGCCCAGGCTGGAGTGCAGTGGCGCAATCTCAGCTCCGCCTTCTGGGTTCACGCCATTCTCCTGCCTCAGCCTCCTGAGTAGCTGGGACTACAGGCGCCCGCCACCACGCCCAGCTAATTTTTTGTGTTTTTAGTAGAGACGGGGTTTCACCATGTTGGCCAGGCTGGTCTCAAATTCCTGACCTTGTGATCCGCCCACTGCGGCCTCCCAAAGTGCTGGGATTCCAGGCGTGAGCCACTGGGCCTGGCCCGTAGATCCTAGTTTCTAACTCAGGACAGACTTGTTAAAGTTGAGGTTTCCAACAAAGATTGAAAGATGCTCCAGCCTGGCCACAGGTGAAATCCCGTCTCTACTAGAAATACAAAAAGTAGCCCGGTGGTAGTGATAACCGCCTGTAATCCCAGCTACTCAGGAGGCTAAGGCAGGAGAATCACTTGAGCCTGGGAGGTGAAGGTTGCGGTGAGCCGAGATCGCGCCGCTGCACTCCAGCCTGGGCGAGAGAGTGAAACCCTGTCTCAAAAAAAAAAAAAAAAGACGCGGTTGGTTCTATGCTTTGCACTTTCCACTTTCTGTTTCTTGGCTTCAGAAGCTGCTGTTTGGTCGTTTCCTTCATTTTCCAGGTGCTTCTTTGACAGACACTTCCTCCTCTTCGTCATCTTCATCACTTCATCCTCTCCATCATCGTCACCCTCGTCCTTGTCCTCATCATCCTCTTCATCTTCATTCTCAGCCATCCTCCTGGCTTTCACAGGAACAGCTTTCGTAGAAGCTTTTCTTTCCTTTGGCTGCTGCTGTCTCCATAACTGCTGCTTCAGAGCCATCTTCCTCAGCAGCATCCTCATCGTCCTCGTTGTCATCCCCTGAGGCAGGGGCACCCGCTGCTGCCTTCACTGCTGGTTCAGAGTCATCCTCCTCCTCATCACTGTCTTCCTTCTTGGTGTTCTTGCTGTTGTTTGCCCCCTCAGCTGGGGCGCCCCCTTCTTGCCAAGAGCTGCTGCCAATGCTTTGCCTGGTATGGCTCCCTTCTTGCCAGGTGTGGCGACTGCTCTGCCTGGAGTGACAGTTGCTTTCTTGGTGGGTGTGGCACCTGCAGCCTTTTTGTTGGGGAAACTGCCACCTTCTTGGCTGGGGTTGCAGCAGCCTTCTTGCCTTTCTCCTGAGGTGTGACAGCCTCTTCTCCACAGCCGCCATCTTCTTCATCTTCTGACATTTCCTCATCTTCACTTCCTCCTTCCGCCTCCTTTGGGGGAGCAGCCATTTTCTTGGGGTCACTTTGGTTTTTACCTGCCTCGCCACCAAGTAGTCTGAAGCGGCTGAGGATAGGAAATCTTTGCAGGGTGCAGAGTGGGAGAGGGGCAGGGCGTGGCTGATACCAGCTGCAGCACAGGCTGTCAGGGTGGGGAGGTGGCCGGGACCTTG